GTTATAAAGCTTGTGAAAAGTTACTTTATCATTTTAGTGATCTAAACTTCTGCCACAATTACAGTCCTAGTTGTTATAAAGCTTGTGAAAAGTTACTTTATCATTTTAGTGATCTAAACTTCTGCCACAATTACAGTCCTAATTGTTATAAAGCTTGTGAAAAGTTACATTATCATTTTATACTTCATTTGGATTAGGATGTTGCAGTATGATAGAAAAAAGCAATGTTTGTACGGAACAAGATGAGGCCTTAGTTTGGTTATTTTTCACTCGACCTTATCAAATTCTGATTGGCCGACAAGGCTTTGTTAGGCCTTATCGGCCTAAGTAACTGTTTTAATGGCTCAAGAAAGTCATAGAAAAGAAAAAAAATTGTAAAGTAATATACAACGGTTTAAAACTTACATATTAAATGAAACCTTTTTATTAAAAATTTTCTAAAAAAAATGGGCTTTCTTATAATTTTTGTATAGCGTAAAAGAATAATTTTCATTGTTTGCCAGTGGTCGTAAACGCAATTACTGTGCGTGCGGCGTTTTTCGAGTCAAAACTAAAGAAAGATTTACAGTTTCATAAGATAAAACTTTACATTAAAATTTATAACAAAGGTAAGCACTTTGAATTGCTTCTTATAAAAAAAAAAGCATCATAATGAAATCTTTTATTTGCTACATACGCTGCGGATATTCATTCCAAGTTTCAAACAACTGTTCCTATGCAATAGAACAAACCATACAACACGTGTGTCAAATCGACGCACCGGGCATTTTAGGGTTAATAAAATATTCATTAAAACCACGTTTAAAATATGTCTGTGAAAGTTACTAGTAGCTGTGCAGTATTCTCGTTCTTTTTAACGTTTACACATACACTGTTTCTGCGAATCCGTATTTACACATACACTGTTTCTGCGAATCCGTATTTACACATACACTGTTTCTGCGAATCCGTATTTACACATACACTGTTTCTGCGAATCCGTATTTACACATACACTGTTTCTGCGAATCCATATTTATACATACACTGTTTCTGCGAATCCGTATTTACACATACACTGTTTCTGCGAATCCGTATCTACACATACACTGTTTCTGCGAATCCGTATTTACACATACACTGTTTCTGCGAATCCGTATTTACACATACACTGTTTCTGCGAATCTGTGCATTAAGGTTCCGTTGAACCTCATTTTATCATAATACATTTCGGCCATATCTTCTAATCAGAATGCTCCCCATTTTGTTTCATTCGTTTCAAAATTTTGCGCAAAGCTACCCAAGGGATGTCTGCATGTCCTAAACATTTGATGTGACAGACTAAAGGGAAATCGGCTAGTTAACAGCATCCCCCTACAAAAGTTTGTGCTACTTTCATCTTGACGAACAGTCAGATTTGACTGTCACTATTACAGAACACTCAAACCACACAAAAAAGAGCGTTTTTTTGCGGCATGAGGTTACGAGCCATAAAGCAGTCGACTCATAATTCGGGCTCGCTGACAGAATTGTACCAGATCTTTATGTACGACACTGATATCTGTGATTAGATATTTATTGCCACTTGTTAACTTGCTACATTTGTTGGTTTGAACTTCGAAGATTGTCTGCGCTCGCCGAATAGAGTAGAGTAAAGACAACTAATTAATACCACCCTCTTTACTAATAAATAGTGGGATTGACCGTCATTTATAACGCATTAATGGCTAAAATCATAAATAATATTC